TCTATTAGTTCAACAGATCTTTTAATTTTTTAAAGATTTTATTTATTTATTTTTAGAAAGAGGGCAAGGCAGGGAGAAAGAGAGGAAGAGAAACATCAATGTGTGAGAGAAACATTGATTGTTTGCATTTTACACGCCCTCTATAGGGACCTGGCCCAAGACCCAGGCATGTGCCCTGATGGGGAATTGAACCAGTGACATTTTGGTTTGCAGGACAGTGTCCAACCCCCTGAGCCACATCAGTCAGGGCAGTTCAACAGATCTTAATGATGTTTCCACCTGTCATCAGACTATCTCCAAAGATCCTGAGTTGTCATGATATTCCAGCAGGAGTGGAGGTAGCTGGTGGCCAGGGGTGTCTATGAAAACGCGTGAGTCTCTCTTCTGAAGTCTAAACTTCCACCCGAATGTTGCTGTGCCTTGGGTACTTGAGTAAGACAGGCCTTGGGTGAATTGCAGTAACATTACGGAGAAACCAGGAGCAAGGAAGTGAATATCTCTAGGTCTCTGCGTCAGCTCGAAAGCAGAGTGAGTGAGTCTTCCCATCACTTCTGGCTTGCCCACAGCCTGACAGCCATAAACCTTTCTAAGGGAAGTCACCGTGTGGAGGGACACATGCAAAATGACTAGCCTTTCAACCGAAGAAGAGTGTTTGTTTATTTCCCCCTACAAGTTTATCATTCTGTTGACCTCTTCACATGCACCCCATATCATGATGTGAGGATTATTCCCCTGGAAAATTGGGTTTTATCTGCCTGTGCTTCTCTTTTGGAGTATATAACAACTATTCTTTCCCCAAAATAGAGTTTAATGGCAAAGAAGAGTAGAACATGGTGCTTAGAATGCGGGATCTACAGCCATTGTCCCCGGCTCCCCCTCCTCACTCTGGTTCTCCCATCCATACAAAGGGATAACAATGGCCCCCACCTCGTTAGGATTGCTGGAAGGAATGAACATGTTCCTATACGCACAGCAGCCCGTTGCCTAGAACATCATAAGCTCTTCATCACCAGTGACGGCTAGCCACGGGCCCATGTTTTGGTTTATCCCAAGGCACTTCATATAGAGACTGAGTTATTCAATGAACAGTGAAGGCTTTGTTTGGCAGGCAGCTGTAGGTGAGAAGGCAAAGTTTGCTGGAATAGGAACAAAGGGGCTACCTCGAACGGCGCCACGTTTAATGGCACCAGCATTTTGAGAAGGGGCAGTTATACAGAAACTACCTGGGGGTGGGCTCTGCTATTGTCTCGTGTGTTCCTCAAGAACTTTATATGGTTAGAGTCTCCATGGAGTGTACGTGTGAATATACAAATAAGGGCCATTTACCTGCTTCCTAAGAAGCCCATGGCTAGGCACACCCCCCCCCCTTGGGTTAAACTGGTACACTGGTCAGGACATTGTCCCAAAGGAGAACCCCGTCAGAGTCGGCCACCAGACTTCCACTGTGGTGTTTGATACTTCCCAGCTGCCTTTGCTGCTTTCCTGCCTTTCTTCCTCCCCTGTTCATAGTGGTTCCCCCACAGAAATCTCAGGAGGGTTCAAGGGTGCTGCTAGGTGCTTCAAGGAGGGAAGTGTCCCCTCCTAGAAAAGGAAGCTAACGTATCAGGAAGACACAAGGGTGAAGGAGAAAGTTCCCACTTTACTCACCTTGTCCCAGAAGTCTTGCTTTTTTCCAGTCTGCTCCTGGTCTGGTGCTCAATTACAAGCCACTTTTGATAACAATTTAATACTATTGCTTTAGAAAGTTATTAACTTCATTCTCCTTTTAAAAATTATCATTCCTTGAACATGACTATTTGCATTGTTCTTAAGTATCCCGGGAGTCTTTGTAATTCATGTGTTTAGCAAACCTTTGTTTGGGAACCCCGTTGTCAAAGGCACGTTTTAATCGGGGAATGTACACTGGGGTATCCTGTGTAATTCTCTGAAGGGAAAATTTTATTATCCTATGAAATGCCTTTGACTTTGTGCTATTAAAAATGTAAAAAATACTTTTGCCTTTGGACTATATCATATAAAAATTTGCACTTGGGCATAAAAAGTAGACTTAAAATGAGCTGACCTAAGAAGGCCTTGTGCTGAACTTTGCTTCTTGTGGAGTTTATTTGCCTCCCAGCAAATTTTCCCCCCTCCCTGTCCTAGTCTTGCTTCTTCAATTTTGTAAATTCTGACAGTGTATGAGATTTGCAATTCCCTTGTGGCAGCATAGGCACATGCAGCGTTTGAAAGAAGCAGCAATACAAAACGTCACACTTGGTAGGTAATGCCAACTAGCAACATCTTTTAGTAAAAAAATGAAATAAAAAAGATAATGGCAGTCTCCACGTGAACAGAAAGTGTAGTTGCCTAATTAACTTCAAATTCTGTCAAACATCGAACATTGTGGGTGTCTTATTTTCTGGGAGAAAGCTTTTTTCCAAACTTTTTCGAAACTGGCCTACAAGTGAAGTCAAAAAAGAAATTGTTGGTATTTAAGGTTGTAAAGATGTAGAGAAGCAGCCTTTGTCAGCTTCAGTGGGAATATTTGGATTAGACTAGTGTTTATTTATGGAAGATCCGGGTTTCTGAGATCCCGATGGTAAATATTGTTATTTTTTGTTTGCTTCTGTTAAAATCGTTACAGACTTTTACATCATGTATCAGGTTATTTGGATAATTATCCATTCTCTACCCAAATTTGTGTTGTGTGCTCATAGGTAGACTCAGGGAAAGCATCCTTTTTGATGGAATTTGGGTTAATTTCTGTGTCTATTCTAAAAGAACCACCTATGTAAATGATATTATTAGTGACAAGGATGAGCAGCAAATAGAACGGGATACGAGATATTTCTATAAGTCACTTAGACATCGAGTAGTATCATTATTTGGATTGTATTTTTTCAGTTATCTTGCCAATCCATCAGACCTCAACTCTGCTAACCTACAGAACTGAGGCAGGGCAGATATTCAAACTCCATGGGGATAGATTTTCAATAAATGATCAAAATATGTTTAAGTAAATAATATAGCCATATTTCAATAAAATTATGATATAGTGACAACTTTCTTATTTTCTTGGCATTTTTAGGTTTATAAAATATTTTAATAACATGTACGTATAATATTCAGATATATTAATATAATATTAGATCATTGCAGAAAAACATTGGGGTGAATGTCGTCTTTCTATCCACCCGATATTTAGAAAAGCAAATAAATTAAGGAACACATCAAAGTTTACCGAGCCATTGAACAGAAGAGTCATTAAAAAACTCAACTATTCTGACATGCAAATTATGCTTTATTTTTTAAAGCATATTCCTCATATACAACTTAGGATAATTTGTTATGTTATTGCATAGAGTTTTTTTGTGCATGCAATATTATTTTCAGTGACTACTTAGTATACCTCATTTCTTTTTTAAATATTTATTTGTGTAAACCTACTAAGTTAGTCTCAAAGTTGTCTCCTGATTTTATTTAAACTCTGCTTTGATGTTTCAGGATTATATGACATTTCAGGATTCATTTAGAGACCAGGGTATGTCTGTGTGTTTCACTAGAAGTAATCAACTCTTACAATACTGTCTATTATTAAGATAAGAGAAATTGCATTTTTCTTTGTTTTGTGGGTCAATAATAATCTTTACCATTGGAGTATATATATAGTCACCTTCAGGATTCAGATGGAGATAATACCAGCCTTTCCCAGTCTGTTGCCCATATTTCTATGCCTCAGATAACCCACAACTCACATCACATGATATTAATAGTGTGCCGAAAACTGGACCCTTAGCTAAGTTGGCGTGCCAACGTGGCATGGGCTACATCTCCCTCAGAGAAGTTGACAGAGGCCATTTGCATATTAAAGACTCAGATCCTTTAGTAAAATAATGATATCGATGATGCTATTAAACTGAATCTATTTTGCACACTGTTTGAAAAATGCCAAAGTGTGTGCAATGCATTACTTAGCTGACTTTATTAATAGATAATGTTGTACTGTTTCAAAAATTAAGGTACAACCTAATACCACAGAAAGGAGCTCTCACCTCGTTCTTGCTTCCAAGTAATCTTGTCGTTCTTTGGTGAGGATTATATGGTTTTGTTCTAAACTTTGCAATTATACATGGGAAACCAGCTTGTTAACAAGGTCTTTCTCACCACTCCCTCAGATAAAGGAAACACAACTTTTAATTCCTTTCTTTTTGTTTTTCCTCTTTCCTTGATTTTTAAAAAATCTGCCAGCATGTACTCTTTGAATCTTGATACAACCTACCAGTCTTTGGGAGAAATTGTTAGTCAAGCCTACCTAAGGGTTGCCTTCTTCCCGACTTCGCCCTTCAGCTCTGAGCTACTCACACACCCCTTCTTTGATATCTTAGCCTGGGAACTTGCAAGAAGCTCCTCTTTCTAGCCTGAGTTCAGTCCAAACCTACTCCCAGTTTTCTCTCACTCAAAAGAAAATATAGACATATGTCACCATTTAAGTTCTTCTGGTGAGACATGTTAATATAGGGTCATGATAATGTGGAACAATTCTTGTGTCTCACCCCAGCAGCGTGAAGGTACTTTTAAGGCAGCTCAATTCACAGGTCTATATGGAATCCTCTGGTAGATGCCAGGGTTGGATAGCTGGTCAGCTGGTCTACCTGATCCTACACAGTGGGCTTGCAGAGTAAACTGATAAAGAGAATGCCAATTGCCGTTGTCTTTCACTTGAGAAACCGTCTCTTTGCATTAATTCACATGAAACCATGCTTTTTCTTTGACGTGTAAATGTGACTTGGCTGGCCTGGCCAAAGATGTCTACCAGATTTATTATTCCGTGCCAGATTTGGTTTCTAAACAATGTCCCTTATTCGCCACCAATTTTTTTTTTTACATCCCTCTAATATTGCTAGACCATTCTCCTTCTCCTCTCTGTGTCCCCAGCACCCAAGGGTGATGCTCTCTCTGTATCGAATTGGTTTGAAAGCTATTTACCTCAATAGTAAGCCAGCAACTGTCTCTGCCCACAGGAGTACGTCTTGACAGAGTGCGCGGAGGTCGGCAGAAGTACAAGCGCAGAATAGACGCGGAGAACAGCCCGTACCTGAACCCTCAGCTGGTTCAGCCAGCCAAAAAGCCATGTAAGTACAACCCAGGCATCTGGCTTCCCCCTACACAGACGTCCCCCTTAGTTGGCCGTGTGTCCATCAGTTCTGGCACGCCGGTCCCTACCAACTCCAAGGGCACTTGTCTTTGTTAGGAGGGGTGGCATGGCTCCATTCACGAAGACTGCTGTTGAGGACCAACAGCAACTCAGTTAATTATCTTGCCTCTGGTTTTCTCCCCCCACCCCGCACCGTTTTTTGCCTAGTCACTGTGTGGAAGCCGAAGCACATTAAGGCATAGCTTATATCGTGCAGATTTCACATTTACTGGTTATCTTGATTTTCAGAGGTACATAAAATGGATCATACTGCGATCATTAGTTCATTGGAGCTGTTCCTTTCAGATTTCACAAGAAAGTGATTTTTGTAGTTTTCACTAACTAAATGAGTTTGACTGCTCAACCTCCCAATGAAAATACATTAGGAGCCTCATTAATTTGGAGCTAGAGAAGGTGAACACGCTAGCTAGCAATAGACTAAAACAAGAATGTGCCCTGCTAATGACAAGCATAGGTTGATGGTTCCATCTCAGATGCCCTGATGGGCGTTGTGAATTGTGTTTAAAGAGCCCACGGTTTCCGAATGCCGGGTTACAAAGTGAAAGGGTGACAGCATGTTGCTAAAATGCAAGCCCCGTTCTCTTTGCCATTAACTAAAAAGAGCTGGAATATAGATTGAGGCAATCACTGTATCCCATTTTCTGTTAAATCAGTTCACAGCTGTAGTGCAACAGACCTCGCATTTTAGGGTGTTTATGCAAAGAGTTCGTATTAGGCACGGAGAAGTGCTCTAGTGGAAACAGCTCTCACTTTGAGCTGTCTTTGTCTCGGAAGGCACAAGGAGCACTCACCAGAGGAAACCACGGCAATAGCAGTTCCAGAAAAGACTCAGGATTTTGCTTGTTCCCCCCGTCCCCCACTCCAAAATCTACTTTCAAGAGAAGAGAAAGTGTCCGCTTCTAATTCGAATTCTCCAGGAGGGGTCGCTGCTGTGCACCATTCAGTGAGCATATGGGGATCCGTTAAATAAATAAAACAGACCCTGAACTGTAAACCAAAGGACATTTTAGCTATGTCAAAGGAAAAACAACCAGTTTTACATAAAATTAAAGCTTAAGTGAACATATGGCATAGTTTCCTTTTGCCTTTCCAAAAAACATTATGTTGATTATACCTTCAATTGTCCAATCTGGCATCATCTCCTCAGCCTGCAGAATCAGTTTGGCATTCTGCAAATACAATCCAGGACTGCATTAAGCAGACTTTGCTCATTATAATAAAAAAAAAACTTTCTGATAATACAATAAAATGCAATAAACACTAATGCTTAATTTCATTAGAGGTTTAGTTATCCTGGATTCAGTAACACACAGAGTGCCCATTTTTCATTCAGTTTATGCAGACATTGACTAGACCATTGATAATTTCCCCTCCTGGGAGAAAAACGTGCACCAGCCCATGACAGAGGAACATCAGTGGTTTTCTGTGTGAACCTGAGAAATTGGGAAGTGGCTTGTCAAGTACCTTTAAGAAGATTACAGCAATTTCAGTGGGCTTCATTCGTCTGAGATAAAGAGGGCTCCTAATAAATCATTACTCATTATCTCAAGGCCTCTGTGTTAATTTTCCTGAGTCCTTCCAATTAGTGTGTTTTTGTAACAAACATTTATAAAACTTAATTTTCAGATCCTGTCAGATAAGGGCGGAGAGACAGTTCGCAGGCTTTGCACAGAGAGTGGCGGAGAGATTTCTGGGTCCTGACTGATTGTGACCGGCGAACGCCCAGGCATGGAAATTGGGTTCTATTGATTCTAATTAGGGAAACATTAAATAAGATTTACCTGGAAACAGTGCTGCTGGCTGTTCCCTTATCTGAGTGATGGGAATTTCCAAGCTTCCACCAGATGTCTCTGACTCATTGACTTGAGGAAAACATTTTCCTGTACTAAATAAGTAGAATTAGGATTTCCTTCGGTTACATGTCTGTGCCCTTTCTCGCTGCATTTTCTTCTAATCCTGAGCATCCATGGGTTGCCGACAGGTTTTGTTGCATCAACAGAGTGATGGGCACTGCAACTTTCCCAAGAGTAACTGAAAACACAGGGCGTCGTTTCTATAGTGAGTACGGGACACAAATGGCCTTCTTTGCAGATCCTGCGAATTTAAAAAAGAGAGTCTACTTACCTTTAATTTTTCAGTAGAAAAACATGGTATGGGGGAATATTTTCTCCCAAATTTGCAGTGTAATGATTATTGAATATTGCTGCCAGTTATCTGGTGATTATTTGCAATAAATGTTGTTCCTCTGGAAACCATAATAATAACATTTTCAATTATGTCAGAAAAAATGCTAATTATAGTTTGCACAACTCTCTTTGTCATCGTGTTTAAATAAGATTGGAAGAATGCTGTGTTTTCAATTCTAAAAGATAGGAAGTGTTTCAGTTTGGGGTAAAATGTTACAAACTTTGAAAAAAATGATCTAGTAAACACTGAGGAAACTTATCTCTGCTCACAAAAATCCCACTTTAACACCCCAGTTTTCTAGACTAATAGTACATAGAACCTTGAAATATTCGGGTTCATTCATACCATTTCCATCTCCTCACTTAGCAGAAAGTGTAAAATCTAAAGCGACCCAGAGAAACCGGAAATAGGGCCACAAGAACAATCATTCAGTTAGCAAGGTTTTACAGCCCCGCCATAAACCCTCCCATGCCCCCCAGCCATAAAACACATTTGATGCGGTGCTTTTCATTCGTTTCTAGTGCTTATTTTATGAAGGTTTTTAAAAACATCCATCACAAATTTCATACAGATAAATCTGAACCAGAGAATGAACTAAAAACAACAGATGAAAATAGAGGATTAAAGAACTGGGCACTCCAAAGAGAAAATGCTGTACCATTTCAGTAGGAGAGTTTTTCTGGACACTGATACTCGCTATATTTGGAAGATCGGCTGGGTATGTGGAGAGAGGACAAAAGGAAAGAAAATCCCACGGACAGAGAGTTATATAGTCCGTCATTCACCCAGGCAGAAGGGCCCTGACCTTTGCTCTTCTTTAAAGGAATTAAGACAATTAATGACTTACATGCCCATTATGACTGTGGGCAGTAGTTCTTTGCCTTCCACATTATATTCTAGATTTCAGCGGTTGACTGTGCTTTTTTTAAGCTGTTGTGTACTATTTAATCTGCTTCCCCAAATCCCACTTAAGAATCAAAGCTCGAACCCAGAGAGCATCTGACTTCTCTTATCTGCTCACTATAAAAAATTTTCATTCTAGAACAAATGCTTCATTCCCCACAAGGGCAGGTAGAGTGCAGAAGAAGAAAGGAATGAATTCCGCTACGACTGCAGCGGCATATGTCTTGGTATCTGTTTGCCTGAACACTGTTTAATATGCCTATATTGACCCAGGAGGAGAATACGTTGGGTTTGTTGTGGGCAATCCGGATGATTTTTCAAAACACAGCATACTCGGAGGTTTGTAAAAGAAGGATGATACCACAGTGATCTCGTAGTGCTCTGGTCTGATCCCGCAGATAACAAGATTGTTTCACATTTGTTGGTGGCTGAACCGGAGAAGATCTATGCCATGCCTGACCCCACTGTCCCCGACAGCGACATCAAAGCCCTCACAACACTGTGTGACCTGGCTGACCGAGAGTTGGTGGTTATCATCGGCTGGGCGAAGCATATTCCAGGTACCTTTTCTGAAAAAAAGAAAGAGAAAAGGTTGCAGTTAATTCCCTTGGTGGTATGTGTACATTTAGGAAAGTTCGAAATTTTCTCATTAGGATTTTTGTTGACCTTGACATTTGTTTTTTTATTGAATATCCTACTTAATTTGAGCTGTGTTGATCTTCATAGAACCATAAACCTTTTTATATCTGTAGCAATTTGAACTCTTGTTATTTTTCTCATATATGAAGGTGCTATGCTAATTTATGATAAAACAAATATAATTTTTAAAATTTTCTTTATGCCTTTTAAAATTCTGAGCTTTCTCCTAAGGAAATGCTTTTACCTTTTCTTTTCATGTTCAGAAGTGTTTTTGCCAACAGTAGTCTAATGTACTATTTTTTTTCCTATTAAGAATAATACATTTTGTTGTTCAGGGTGGCTATTTATGGTATACTATTTAATCAGATACTATTTGTAGTCACAATGTTTACTTTGGTTTGCAATTGTATATTTACCATGAACTTATATAAAAATTAGGAAAAGAAATGTTAATTGACATCAGAAATTTCTTCATATGATAACTTAAAAGCAGAATTTCAAATAGCCTATTACCTTTCTTTGCTGACCCATCCTGTAATATCAAACCTATGCCTAATCACAAATTTTTGAGTAGTTTAGTAGTCTAGAATTATCATTTTTTGTTGATTTGAACTCGGATCTTCAAATAGCTTATCAGCAAGTTTTTGAATGACGAGTAATGTTTTTCTGGTACAGTTAACTTATTTCTGTCTCCTTAAACTAGTTTGTCTTTATACTTTGAATGCTACAGTAATTTCTTTAATCAAATTGATGGAAGTCCCTTTCCCAGCCCACACTGAAACCAATTTATTGGTCATGATACGCCAGCTATGTTGCTAACAGTCGTAACGAACTGTCAGGCAATATCGCAGTGAAGCTAATTTGAAGTCATTAGGTGTGCAGCGTTCGGGCGACAATTTGTTACAGTGGTTAGGAACACAGCTGACATTTCTGAATGGCTTTGTTCGGTGCCGTTCTAGAGGAGGCCAAGCCAATTGTAAACTAATTTAAACATCACTCTGTATTATACCAGCTACTTTGTCTTACACTGTTTGCTAATAAAGCACCCCAAATTAAGTCAAAACTAGTTAAATAGGTGAGCTGGAGTGTGTGTTTCAGGCTACACCTACACAAGGGTCACTGTGCGTACAACACGTATGAGAATTGGATCAGACGGATAGTTGACGCTGCAGTGGGAATGCATTCGCATCTATATAACTCCTAGAAAAAGCTAAAAGAAAAGGATGCGCCATAAGATGTGGAGATGCTTGGGGGTGGTAGCAGTGGTAACACCCAGAATTTGCATGAGTGATAAATGTAAACTAATCGGGAAGCAGGGTGTTAAGAAGGATTTTAGAGCCGAGTGAAACAGAACTGACATTTGTTTTGATGCCGTAGTCATTCGTATTTATATATTTTATCATTTTATACACACACACACTCTCTCACATATTTAAAGCATCATTATTCTTCATTACTCTAACCCGGGGTTTCCCAGCTTTGACACTGTTCACAGCTGGAACCACAGTGCCCTGTACCGTGGGGCTGTCCTACCTGCGGTAAGTTGTTTAGCAGCATCCTTTGCTTCTACCACTTACACCCTTGAGTTACGTACGGCACATGGAGGCATCTTCAGACATTGCCACGTGTTCCCTGCAGAGCAAAATCGTGCCCGTCCCCAACTGAGAATTGTCGTTTTAACTCAGGATTTGGTTACTGTTATCCTTAACTCATAGGTAGGGAGGCTGGGTGCAGAGGGAGGTAAAAATGCACCCACAAGTTCACACATGTTTTCAGTGCCTTCAAAGCACATATTCAGCTCTGCTTCCTGGAGTCGAATTGGGATATTTTTTGTGTCCTCATTGGTTGTGTTTGAAAGAACTGTTTCAAAATAATCCTGATGATATTGTCATGAAGACAACAGGATGGCAGGCTTTGTCACTCGGACCGCAAAACCTCCGTCACTTGGAGAACCTTCCCCCAGTTCCCCTGGTTTAAGGGATTTGTTGGCCAGTGTTTTGATGTTGTACAGACATCCCAGAATAAGGACCCATAAAACTCCACACCTCCTTCCAGTGTTCTCTGCAAAGAAAAAGTCAGTAGTGAATTTGTGGGTCCAGTTGTGCATCAAAGTAGAAATGTCAGCTTACAAAAGAACCTGTCACCGTACAGGGGCTCCAGTGACTTTTGTGAAGACAGTAACTTTAAATAACTATGAGTAACAGCAGTGCCGGTGGTGGAAACAATTACTATAAGATTATGTGTTCAGTCTTAAACCGAGGCTCAGAATTGGTAGGGACTGACGTTATTCTCTCTCTACAGAGAAAGCCAGAGCAGGTCACTGGAGTGATGACTCACAGCTCTGGTTTTTGTGACACCCTGAGGGTGTTTTAAATGATTGCAAGGAGTATCCTGGCCTTTCAGAAAGGGATTAGCCAAGCAAGGATTAACTGAAATTCTTTTGACCGGTTTAACATGGTCAAACATGCCAGTTTGACCATGGCACGTGCCATGCCATGTTTGGAGTTAGAAGGATGCTCTGCTTTCGGAGTGCTGGTATACCCTGGGCTCAGGGACTTGGGCCCCGCAGCAGTACGCTGCAGCATAGGAGAGGGGTGCAAAGTCACAGTTCTGCCTGGACAAGAGTCAAATCCAGCTCTTGATAACAGGACCCAGACCTGATAACTGGGGTCAGAGCTGGAATTGAAGCCAAATCAGAACTGAGATTTCATGTCTTCATCGCCGCTTCAAAACTCTTTTGTTTCCTAACACTAGTGAAACCTTTTCTTTTAATATCCTAAACTTTAAGCCTTTGCTCTCTTTATTTATCCTGTTCCCAGTTTGTGTAATGCCACACACACACACATGCACGCACACACACCCACACGCACTTTTTAAAAATCAAGTTTAACATCTACAATAAGATCAGCAATCTTTCTGTACCTTTGGGAATGTACTATTTTGTACATTTGCCTTGGCTCCATAAAAAAGTGAAGAATTCCACAGAAAAATAGTGAAAAACACATATGGAGGGGGCCTTTGTTATCAGTAAATAGAATTAGTCGGCTTCCTTGAATAAATCATATAAATGGAAAAGTGGGTAGTTATGAAACATGACCATGCTTTATCTATAGGAGAAAAATACAAAGATCACGAGGGCTTCAGAAAATGTTTGACTTTCGCTGGAGGAGCAGAAGGGCACGAGAACAGATGATGGTACCCTAATAGCCCTTCTTAAGAATGACAGGGCCTGGCCATTAGCATCCTTTTATATCCTTAGAAATTGCTCACGCCTCGCTTTTCTGCTTCCTATCTGCCTGGCTCTTTTTTATTTCTCTTTCAATTTCGTCCGCGCTCGGATAAGCGCAGGCTAACACAATATGATTGAGCTGTAAAATGGAATGCTGTCTCCTCTGATCTCTTTTATGTAGATACGGAGGCTCGGCACACTCCACTTCCTTCTCTCGCCATTGTTGGCCTTTTTCAGAACGGGCTGCCGAGTCATGGAGTCTCGCCGTTGGATATCAGAGCTAGGTTTCACAGGGTGTGATAAGACGATTATCAGCCCAGCCGTCAGATCCGTGATTGTTCTCTGGAGTTGATTAAAATATTGTTATGGACTGTGTGACTTTGTTAGCAAGATTCGGAATGTGCTTAGTCAGACGGTGCTTAAAAAAGCATAACCCATATTAGCTGACCTATATAAGTGGTTTAAATATATTTATGGGTCTCGCCAGAGAGTTGACTTTACAAGAATAGGAAAGCATTTGAACAATTAAGGGAGCAAAAGTGCATTTTTAGACACTTTTGTACTTTATCCAATATGGCAAATTTTCAGGGAGGCCTGCTTATTTTTAACATGACAGATGAAATAATTACCTACTGAAGAAGGAGTTCTCTTACTCAAGTTTGGGGCCTCTGAGTCACATTTTAAAAATTGTGTCTATTGTAATGACAGCAAACAGAAAAAAAAAACCTTATGCATTTGCCTCACACGAAGTGAAAGCAGGAGTATAAAGCGCCAAAAGCAAACCACACTAGGAAAACAGTGTGATGAAACAGCCTTTACGTTTAGTTAACCGTGTTAGAAACAGAAATCTGAGGTTTAGAAGCCAGTATTTTCTATTTATGCTGAAACATACCATGTGAAAATGTTAGTTGAAGAATATATCAAAAATTACTCATTGATTTGACATGTTAAAATTTTCTCAACAGCAACGTTCAGACTTTTTCTAGAAATGACAGGATTCTGTAAAGAACGTGGATGAACTAGTTCTGGATTAGGATATAAATTTGTGGGAGAACATTTTGAGCATTCATTGCTAAAAACACTGCTTAAAGACCCATTTATTGTCCTAAAACAGTTTAGGTAGAGATTAATTTTTATATACAATCCCCCAACCAAAGATGTAGAAGATATGGTTCTTAAATTCCCATTGCTTGTCTTAAACTGGTAGCACCATTAAAGGATTATAATCTATGCAAAAGCACCAAAAATGCAGTGGAAATAATGACTGTAAGGTTAAAATTCCATTTGTCAGAGAAAGCATGTTTCCATGTGTATAAATATGCGGTTATGGTTTGCAGTGTAGTAAACTGGGCATCGTTGACTTAGATATATAAATAACACCTACTCTGTTTTGGATTTCTGGATGGTATCATTGGCACTTGATAAATTTCTTATTGATTAGGTTTTTAAATTTCTTCTTATTTACTGATTCTAGTGAGAGAGAGGGAGGGAAAGAGAGCATGAGGGAGAGAAAAAAACATTGACTTGTTCCACTTATTTATGCATCCATTAGTTGTTTCTTGTGTGTGCCCTGACTGGGCACCAAACCTGAAGCCCTGGTTATCAGAATGATGTTCTATCCAACTGAGCTAGCAGGCCAGGGCTTTATTGATTAATTGATATTTAAAAAATGGCCCTGGCTGGTGTAGCTCA